ACTGACTCGATTACATTGACTGCACATGCTCGATCAACAGACTTATTACACACAATGTAATTAGTTGTCGGTGATTGGAAGTATAAGCCACACTTGTACCTTATCCAGGATATTAATGATTTAATGCGCAGCATGCGGTAATGCTTCTATTCTGGTTACGCTCGGCAATACAACTGATAGCTAATAAGGGAACATCTTATCATCTTAGAAATTTTAACTAAAACTTAGAGTTCTCTAACAAATTCTTAGCATAAAAGGATATTATTATAGAAATCGTCTAATCTTGAGAAGAATTGTTCCTTACTTTTCATTTGCTTTATATAAATTTCATTTATATAATTATATAAAGAGAGATTTTTTGAATAAAAATACGATTAGTAAAAACGATTAATTAAGCTGTTTTTTTTTTCGTAATAATAATTTATTTGTCGTAGCATTATTTAATATTGAATGTTTTATTTTTGACTATATATCAGAGAAAACTGTAATTATTAATTGAGACATTAGCACAAATGTTTTTTACGTTCTTATTTTTTTTTAATATTTGAATGAATAAATAAAATTGATCATAAATACTGACTATGTTGTTACGAGGATGGATATGTCATTATTTCTGAATAGACATGGAAAGCCTCTTACAGAGGAATGTCGGTATCGAGTAAAACGCTTATGGAATCGGTATCGATACTCGAATTATTCAAGTAGCGATACCAAGTCTTCGTGACGATCGTATTTAATTATAGATTGTGATGTCGAGATTTCATCCTGACATGACCTTAATTAATACGAACTCTGTAGGCGACATATCTATGACAATCACGCGAATCTGAACCTAAAGCATCGTCATTTTTCTTCTTTCGAAAAATATGTTCCTTTTTTTTTCTACGGATTGACATACCTCCATGTATAATATAATTACAAATATTAAATTTAATTAAGCATAATTAATTTTCACAAATAATTATATGCTCCATAAAATACTACTTTAATATTACATAGTAATATTAAATGACATTAATTTAAAAAGTATATGTTGAATTAGCCTTATGCAAAAAATATACATAAAACAAAAGCTTTATCTCAATAATTATATTTTACATTGTCAAAAATGAAAAGTTAATTTTAACTTAAAAAAGTGTAGTAGACTTTCTGAGACAAGCAAAAATGTTAAAATTAACATTTTATTTTTAACAGTGTCGTTTAAAATCGTTAATCGATGATATCACAATTGATTGCACGTAGAAGATGAATTATGGAATAAAAAATATTATTTATTATTTAAATTAATTTTATAGCAAATAACATTTTCATATAAATTATATATTCTATTTAAACTGTATTGTGTTAGATAATATTATTTAGTAATGGACGCGCAAATTTCTTGAAAATTACTCGAGTATGTCTCTCACGGGAAATCTTTGGACATTCTAACAGACATGTAACACCTGGCGACAGGTGTTAAGGGAGTATATTCGTGCTATTTCATACTAAATATTCGGAAGAGTTTCGTCTAATAGTCTTGCGGATATTATCAAGCATATCTGTTAATATTATATGCTTTATCTAGAGACCAAAAAATTCTGTTTAAATACTCTCCTTGATTTTAACACACAAATGCCCAGATCTATACATAAAGTGTGAACAGAATATAATATAAATACAATACATATAATCTCTTTAATATAAAACATTAATAATTTGAAAATCAACTTTTTTAAGTTGTGTCATTTTTGAAGAAAGAGAGTGATATTGATTTTAAAAATTTATTGCGCTATTAGGTTGCCTATGCTGAAAGAAATGTGAATTATCGAATAATTTCGTACGTTCAATGGTAACAGTAGAAAAAACTTTACCTTTGAATGCTATAATTACGAATATTAAGTTTTTTTCGAATATACTTGTAAATCTATAATGTTTCTTCAATACTTGACTTATAGAGATTGTAAGGATATGTAATTCTTAGTGGCCATTATATCCTTATCTCGATGCCTTGATTAATATGCAGCAGGATAACGGATATTAAGAGAATATTATACGCAATTTGTATGTCAATCATGTTACCACATAAGCGTAAGCCGCATTATTTTACAACATACCATATGTTAACAATAATTTAAGGTTTCGATAACAGGAAAAATCAAGTATCAATCGATAGTCACTGTAATTTTAATATATTTGAATAAATTACCGCACGCATACGTGTCAAACTTGCTTAATCCTTCTACATTCGTAAGTAATCTCACTACATAATTCTATGTCATACCGTGAGATAACTCACGTTCCGAGAGCAAAAGGGCCGAACGTGTTAGGAGTCAGAATTATAATTTGCGATTTAATTAAAAGGCACGCACCACATAAATACAACAAATAAAACTATGTGCATAGTATGTAGTTAAACTATTTGTTCGTAGTTTGAAAAAATATTGATTTTTATATTATACTTTATATTTTTATATTATGATTTTTATAATTCATTTTTATTTTAAATCTCATCGGAATTCACGGATTTCAGGAAATTTTGGACATTGTTTCAACTATGTTGTAAAAAATTATTTATAACAAATGTTTTTCACAATCTTATATAATTTTAAGTTGCATAATCGTATTTCTCTTTTGAAAAAAGTCGTTTAATTATGTCTACTTTAAGCAAAGATTCATTCATTTAAAGTAAATATCGCGAATATCGATTAAGGCCGACTAATCCGATTCAAGATCGATTAAGGTTAAATAATATTTTATATGTGTCGAATATTATTGTACATATAAATGTTTCATATTTACACATTTTTTGTTGCTCTACTTTCACTAATTTCGTTTTAACAAACTGAATTTAGCAGATATGTCTTGCGACATAGTTAACTTGAACACATGCACAAGCTCTATTGCATTGAACGTTTGTTGGTTTTTTAACTTCCGTCACAATTTCCGGTTTTTTCTCCCGTCTTTCGCGGTTTCCTTCGTGACCTTCTTACGAGATACTCCATCCTGTTCAACAAAATAGTTTCCGCTCCTTTCGACCGTTACCTATCATTCTCGCCAAAATACAATTTTTAGATATATTTCCGTCAAAAATTGCTATTTCTCTTAAAAACTGAATATGTGTACAAACGCAAAATTTTGTTTTTTTTTTCTAATTGTAAATTTGTTAAATCTGAAAATTAAAAAAATTAGTTTAATGACGATATCTTTAACTTAAAATTTTACACATTATAATTATAACTATCTATTATATATAATACTTTAATATTTATTATTAATTAAAAATAATTTGCCGTTGTAGAACCCCAAAATCATTATTTTATTAATACTACGCGAATTTATTTTCAATAAAGTTCAATCTTTTTAATAAATATTATTTCTGAGAAGTCCTTCGTGTGTGTCTATTTTAAATGATTTTTATTTCTTTACTGCATACTATTTTTAAATTCATTCTTGGAGATGATTTTTTTTTAATTGGCTCCTAATGTCCTTTTCCTCTAGTTCTATCTTTTTCAAAATATAGAACTGTTTTCAATCGTATCTCATTAATCTGATCGACTATTTTAACGGTTCTTAACATCGCATGGTCTCTCTCTCTCTCTCTCTCTCTCTCTCTCTCTCTCTCTCTTAACGGTACATCAATAAACCAGAAATCTCAATAATCAATTTTTTATTAAACGCAAATATTACATATATGCAATCTTTATTAATTCTTTATTTATTTTTCTAAAAGTATTAGCAAAACAATCGATGAAGTTTTTCAAAAGCAAATAATGAAGCTAATTTAATGTTCTGTGAATTTTTGTTTTTGTATTAATAGACACGTGAAGTTGAAGAAAGAAGAAATGTATTTTTTCTTTAATTTTAACTTTAATTAATATTACTGTCGTCGTTTAGTTTTTTTTTCGATCACTGTATTTCACTCGATATTTCATTTTTTTTGGAATTTTATTTTTTCGATCGCTATCTTTTTCCAATTCTTTTTCTACCTATATAACATTGCATTTCCTTTTTCACTTTAATGTTATTCTCTTCGTCGACCTTAGCTTCCTTCTCTTTACTAATCGTCCTACAAGTTCTAGTTACTGCAAATACTGCGATGAGTCCCGATCGACCATTTCCGTGGATAGTACAATATTTTTCATTATTATCTTCTCTATCTTCTCAACGATTTTCTCGCCGACATTATCTGGAGATGAAATTTTCTTACTTAATGATGGCTTTATCATCTCGCTCAATTTTTCATATCTCCATTATCGATATTTTTAGTGTCTTGATTTTTCTTTGTTAATTTGTCAAGAATCTCTTGTTCTTCAGACGTAAGAGTCGCTCTATTCACGAAATTTGCAATGTTAGCTGCGTGTATCATCAACAAACGTTTTCTCTCCTCCTTCGCACGTTCCGCCTCAAGTAGTTCCAATCTCTGTTGCTCTTTAGCGATTTCCTCAATCCTAGCAATCTCCTTCTCGCGAATCCTGCGGCGGTGTTCAATCAAACTCTCCAGGTCCTTCCGGTACTGTACTTTCATCCTTCTTTTCGCCTCGGCCGTGCACCTTGCCATCTTCTCATCTTCCATAATCTTCCTCATGACTTCCTCGGCCCATGCTCTATCCTCCTCAACGAAACGCAGCCTGCACTGTTCCGTGAAGACTATCTGTTCCCGTAAACTAACTGCCAGTTCTTGCTGCATTTTTTTCCTACGCATCGTCTCCTCCATCTCCCTGATTACAAGCTCGCACCTGATCTCCTCCGCTACGAGATCAATCAGTCGCTCTTCTCTCTCTCGTTTTTGAGCTTGAGCGTCCAGCAGTATCTTAGTTGTTTCCAGGAGGACACGCTCGCGCCTCTCTAACTGCTCCTGTCGGAGTCTACTCATCTCCTTCGATCTCTCCTCTATCTCCTTCAAGTACTCTAGATCTTTCAGTCGCTTCTTCTCTTCTGCTTCAAGCTCCTCTTGTCGACGGGCCTCCCTTATTTCCTCGAGGATCAGTCTCTCTTGTCTCGTCCTCTCTACAAGCTCGCATTTCTTCTCCACCGCCTTCGTGCGCTCCTGCTCTTCTTGCTCTCGGTCCACTTCTTCCAAGAACTTCCTGTACTCGCGAGCCTCCTCCACAATGACTCTTTTTTGTTCCTCCTTTCGTGTCAACTGCTCGTCCAGTTGCCTTCTGTATTCCTTCGATTTCCGTAGCATCTCCGACTGGCATCGGAGATCCTCCTCCAATACTTCCTGTTGTTCCTGACGGATCAAGTCGGCGACCTCGCGTTTTCGCACGAGCTCGGTATATTTGTGAGCCTGTTTCTCATCAAGCTGAGCCTGCAGCCCTTTCACCATATAGGCACGTCGTAATTCAGCCGCCAATTCCGCGAGCGTGTCATGAGACTCCCGGTTGCGGCAACTGCGACGAAATCTTGCATATAAAGTGCTCTCGTTACTTGAGGGTGTTTCTTCCATTGTTAATCGTTACTTTTGGATATTTATTGCCTTACGGATTCAGAGAAGATCGTGCGTTTGTGAGACTGAGTTCGCAGAATTAGATGTGAGTCATGGATTAGATGTGTTGCGTTCTAACTTGTTGGAAACTGGTCAGAATCTTCCGGTTTTGCCTGCAAGGGGGTTACGCTAGTTCATTATAGTCTTGTAGAGAATAGATGAATTTAAATATAAAAATAATACATATCTATACATTTTTAAGAATGTAATTCACTATAATTTATCCGTTAATTAGTGTCTGCGACTGATGTATTG